CTGATGGCTATACCAATAATAGAGTTCCAGAAATGTTTCGAGAGCTGGATCAAGCGCTGGCATAAGTGCGTTGCAGTCGCTGGAGAGTACTTTGAAGGGGACAATATCACTTTTGATGAATAAACTTGTATTTTGAATTTTCTGAATGAATTCCGGAAACTTTTTGATCGAGCTAGTATACAGGATGAATCAGAATCGTTGAATCAGCTTTTTATGAGAAAATAATTGACTGCACATTATAATTCAATTAAGTATAAAATCGACAATTTTCTCATAGGGTAAAAAGTTGATTCAACGACTCTAATTCATCCTGTATATATTATATATATTTTATATATACCTATACATATATTATATATTATTTAATCTGACGGTAACTTGCTTGCTAAATTATGGTAAATTATTATGGTAATTTTGGAGAGTTGATTAAATGATAATTTAAAAAAATTTTTTTAAATATAAAAAATTTGATATGCAGCTCAGGAAGAGCATTTATAATTATTAAGTAAAACACTTTATCTAACACATATTTTCTATAAAATATTTTAATACTGTGCATGTATCAGGAGACACAGTAGTATGTCGGCGCTAAGCTAAGCGTAGCGATACTACCGTGTCCTTTTATTGATTTATACTGTGTGTGTGTGTGTGTGTGTGTGTGTGTGTGTGTGCGCGCGTGCATGTGCGTGTGCGTGTGCGTGTGTATGTGTGTGTGTGTGTGTAAATAATTAAGGAAATAAAAAAATTTAATTAATTTTTTTATAATGTAAAAGGTGTCTCTATTTTTAATATTTTCCGTCCATACCTTACAAGCTTACATAACTGGACTACAGCAGTATTATGGTACATATAATTGAAAAATTTTAATATAAGACACAAAAATGAAAATATTAAATTATAGTTGTATATACTAGTTGTATATATAGAAAATAAACTTTTATTGCACCCTATATTTAGTTACATAATTACATCAGAATATTTAATCTAAGTAAAAAGAATAATTTTTAATTAATGTAACGAAAAGTTAAACTTTAAAATCGATTCACATCCGAGAACAAGTACCGGCAAGATATTTATTTTCAGAGTAATTTTACCAATTTATGAAATTTGATGAGAACATTTGATGAGAACAGATTTATTCATGTTATATTCGCGTGTTATAATCTTCAAAAATGTTTATACTGAATACAAAATAAATATGTTCAAACGTTAGAAAGAGAGAAAGCGAAGATTCTGAATGTAAAAAGTGCAAACTCTGACAGATCTAATATAAATAATGTTATTTTATCTTATACAATATCTTATACAATAAACGCCGAAAATATAAATATGGTCCTATTTATGCATAAAACTATCAAAAACAACAAATTTTACCAAAATTATCAATTATTAATCTTACTGTAATTTCACCATAAATAATTGTTAGATTGAATCCGACTGATAATTTCACATCTCTACAGGTGAGAAAGGAGCAGATATGATTAAGAAATATTGGTTAAAGTGGAAGAACAGATACGAAGAAAAGATAACTAGCAGATGATAAGAAGATGACAAGTCATGATGACATCTTCGTGATGACAAGTGATAACAATAGGTCTATTTTTTATTGCTGCACTCTGAATCGGTGGAATAAGTTGAAATAAACGTATATTTATGTGTACTAGTTCAGAAAGTAAATAAAGCAGCAATAAAAAATAGATCTAATGTGATAATACAAGAGCACTAGTGCTGTTGACATGAAAAGACTTTCAAAAAAAACTGGAAACTCTGAACTTTACTATTTTGCTACATTTTGTATAAGCCATATTGGTATAAGAATATCTGAATCTGATTCTGCATGTAAATTGTCGTATATTTACGTATATGTATCTATATGCTTTCAGAGAGCGCTTGCAAATGATGGAATATTTAAAGTTTGATACCATGTATGATGTATGTGTAAATATTATTTACATATAGTCTGTTTTTTATCTCTGCACTTAATTTCACTTGAACTCTCTTTTTTTGCTTTCGACAAATATCAAATATATACTTATCTCACTGTCAATTCCAAACACTAAGCAACAGAAAACAGACTTATAATAACAATGTTATATTATATAATGGTTTTAATGTTATCGAAATTGAATTTTAATCTTATACTTAGGAAATGATCGATGCTTGACGTAAAAAATAAATATTTGAATTCAAATAATTGTTGATTATTTCTTGTCCTAATTATTCCGTGCGTCGATAAAATTTTCCACTTCTAAAAATAATCTTTTTTACAAAATAATGGAAAATTTTACGAGGAAAATTCGTATTTTTCACGCTTTAAATAAGTGAGACAAGCAACTATCATAGTTTTCGTCGGATTTCAAATCAGCAGAACTGCATGTTCACAATAATACGTACTAAGATTTAAATTCGTTGAATCTGAACAGTGCGAGTTTAATGTGTAAATGATTACAATTACAATATTACGAGTGTAATTATAGTGTTTATCGCCGTGATTAACTATCGTTAATCAAAAAATAATTGGTAGTAAACAATTACCTTTTTTTTAAAGGTAATTTATTTAATATTTTCGTCAAATTTTTCTCTATCTTTTATTTCATATCTTATTTTTAAATATTCTTTTTTATAAATTTTTATAAGTAGTAATCAAATTTTTCTGTAGAAAGATTAAACTATCGTTCCCGAAAGGATATAAACAACTGACAAAAATATTAAATCATCATTCTGAATTTTTTTCTCATAGATGAATGTGAATATATGTGAAGAAAAATTAAATTCTGAATTGAATATCAATTAATTTCATTAATTGTAAATCCAATTTCCTTTCTTCTAAATCGATAAAAAAGGGGGATCAAAATCTCAAGATTGAATATTTTTCTAAGTTGTTAAACCGTTATTTATTGTTACTTTTCATTATAGAAAATTAATCCTTGGCAACGAGTCCAAAATCCATCATGATTAAAAACACATTTAATAGATCCGCGACGTAACATTTTTTAAGTAACAATTATAAATTTTTAAATAAATCAATCATATTCAGGAATCTCTCAAATAATTTAATGCGAATTATATAATATATAATTATATAATTTATATTTAAATATCAACAAATATATAAATAAGGTAATAAATAAATATAATATAAACAGGCAAATTATTATAAATTAAATTAATTGCTTCTGTAAATTATATTATATTTATAATTTTAAATAACTATATGCAATCTCATGAAATTTGTTATAATAAGAACAAATTTCATAACAAAGTTGAATATGTACAATTATTTGATATTGCATCGATTACAAAGTTTCACTAATTGTAAATCTCATTCGATTCATTATTCTCAATGCATGTATTTAATATACGATTTATATTTATTTTATATTAATATTTAATCCATCTATAACAATCCATTTTCATGTGAAACGTACCAGAACATTTAAAAATCACGAGACCTTATTGAAGACATTCGTGACTATGAATGCAACGTCCATAAAAGAAAAATGAGATACACGCATCACCTAGAATTTTTTCATAATTATCTACTAATTGATCTCTTCATAATTACGATTCAATGCCCGACTAATTAAATGCATACGATAACGAAAGTAGAACAACTCAATGTGTATAAAAAGTATTACTTTCTTGTAGACGCAAGTAATAAAGTTAGTCTACAATCATACGTAGATTACTTATAGCACGTGATCGTGAACGTATCTATCTATCTTTACAAATTTTTTACGATTTTCAAAGTATCATATTATTATGTAATGTACATATAGTATGGCAACGATAATAACAACATATAACATGCCAGTCGTAAAAAAACTATTTTAATATTTCTGTAAAAAAAGGATTACAACGACTACAGTAGATTTCTACATGCAAAAACTGCTAAGGTAAATAAAATCTTTTATCGGCAAGCAATTCTTACGTTTAATTCTTTGTTTAGTTATCGATAAATAGCACATTAATCGTCGGCTTTTCAATAATTGAGTACTACATGCTATTTAGAAATAAAAATATATAAAAATGTAAAAAGTAAATAAAATAAAATTTATCTAATTTAATCACGTTTGTGTTATTAACTTATTCTAATTAATACTACAAAAAAACTTTTGTAAGTTTTATAAAATGTTAATGAAAACAAAATAAATATGTTAATAATATAAAAATTCTATATTAGCGAAAACAAATTTTAAAAAATAACTGCAAAAAATATCAAAATAGCTTATCTAGGACAAGCGAAGTACAATAGAGAGAATAAGTAAAATACAGATAATAGTAAAATACGTTAAAATGATAATCATTAATAACAAAAGGTTGGAATATGTTATACAGATTGTATTATAATAATGACTGTAGGCATATATAGTCGTGGAACACCTGTTCCAAGAAAAAATCTGTACCGTATATAAATATCTGTAAATACATATTGTATATTGATGACGCAGTATTTTTTTTCTCCTTTTTTCCCTTTTACATGCGTGTGCACGCGCGCGTACGCGTGTGTCTGTGTGAAGTTTTAAAACTTAGTAAAAATAATTAACGTTCTCTCTTCAACAACAGGATAATTATATTATATGGAACGACAAATTCAGCGCCATCTGATTGTACATATGTACGATGATCATGTCTCTGGTTTCGAAGTTGTTCTTCATGGTATTGGGATATCTCATTATTAATATGCGTCCAGATATCACGGATAAGGAGAATCGTCTACAAACATTATTAATGGAAAAACTGTTGGCTCAGTACGATTATGTGATAATTGGCGGAGGATCAGCAGGAGCTGTGTTAGCCAGCCGATTGTCAGAGGACGAAAATTGTACCGTTCTTCTGCTCGAAGCTGGCGTCGATGAAGTTCCTTTGTCCGACGTACCATGGTCATATCTCACACTGCAGCGTACATATCTGGATTGGGATTTTAAAACGGAATCGTCGTCCAATTATTGCTTGGCGATGCATAATCATCAATGTAGATGGCCACGTGGCAAGGTAATTAAGATATCTTATTTTATAGATAATAATGTATAGAGAATGAACGATGATTAAGAATCAATTTATTTTACACTCGGGAAGACGTTGAATCATAAACTTTTGGATGTCAGAAGATAGTCGAATCGATAATTTAAAAGAAATAATTTTTTACAATGGCCTATTATTGATGGTATAATTAACAAAAAAGTCACTTTACGTGAAAAAGAATCAAAAGAATACATAATTAGATAAATAGAATAAAATTTAATCATACGATATTTTGCTCCGCGCAAAACCGTTTTTTAAAATGATTAAATTAATAATTTAATTAATTTATGTTATTTAATAAAGAATTTGAATTCTAACATCTAGTTGATTCTGATTGGCATTTGTACTTTTTGTTATTTATATTCTTCAGAACCTTTTATTATTACTTTAAATACGAAGCGCCATTACGATCTGAATATTAAGATGTTGAACTATTATAATATATTCATATAATGAATTAATTTCAGAAATGATAATTGCGTGCCGATATGGTTGTCGGACTTCCAACGCAATCAATTTGAAATATTAATCCCCCCAAATTGCCCAAATTAATCTTAAAAAACTGTAATAAACTTATTGCGAAAAATATTGCTTTGACCGGAAGTCAAACCCGGATCTCTTGCATTCCGTGCTTTTATTATTCTTTTTTTTGAAATAATATGTTTACGGTTTTTCAAATTTAAACATTGATGTTATATTGAGCAACTGTTGAATTGTATTGAAAGTGAACCGTTATAATTTTCTTCTTCCGATTCGACGATCATTTTTCAGATCAAGGTTACAAAGTTTGAAATATCAATTTCATTTAAAGTCATTGTACAAGCGAATGAGTGTCAGTATGAAACGCATTAACTGTCGAAAGAAGTGTTCAAAAATTTAAAAACTTTTTGAAAAAAATTACTTTGTAGAAATATTATTAATGTGACAAATAGAGGCAATTTTATAATAAAATTTTTGTATGAAACATTTTTTTGATATTTTAAATAATTTTTGAGATACAACAAAAAAGCTAAGAATCACTTTACTTATAAAGAGATTTCCTCCTTAAAACCATTTTTTTTTACTAATTAATATTTTATAAATTCATCTATTTACGTAACCTACTATCTACTTTTATTAAAATCATACAAACTTTCATTTTCCTTGTAAATCTTCACTCGAAACTTTTCTTAATCTGTATTTACTACGAAATCTACAATATGTTCCTGTATAGTTTTTGCTTCTGTAGAAGCACTCAATAAGAAACATCTTTCCTTCGATGATTAATGTATTTATGATGGCACTTATAAACTTAGCTTGAACAACGGGGCTCAAATAAAATTGACGAGTCTCAAATATCCAACCCTAATCAGAAAAACGAGCATCGAAACGCAGGAGGAAAAGTATAATGGTTCACTTTCAATCCTAGTCATCCTGTATTATCATCATGCATTATTGAAATTTGTTTTCATTTTAACTAAAAAATATCAAGGACTGATTTTCAATATAATTCATATTCTTAAGGTGTTAGGTGGTAGCAGTGTATTGAATGCGATGCTTTATATTCGCGGTAACAAAAGGGACTATGATTCTTGGGCGACTCTTGGTAACGTGGGATGGGATTACGAGAGCGTTCTGCCGTATTTCAAGAGATCAGAAGATGCTAGAGTCAAGGAACTTGCCGACTCGCCTTATCATAAAAAAAATGGATATTTGACAGTAGAATATTTCAAGTATAACCCACCGATAGCTAACTATATTGTTCATTCCGGCGAAGAATTAGGATACAAAGTGCACGATGTGAATGGCGTAAATCAGACGGGTTTTACGCATTCTTTTGGTACTTTGAGGGATGGATTAAGATGCAGCACTGCTAAAGCTTATCTCCGACCCGCTTCAAAGAGGAAAAATCTATACGTCAGCTTGGAATCGTTCGTGGAAAAAATACTAGTGAGAAAAGGTTCAGAAAATCTAATTGTTCTTCTTTAATATTCTCTTTTGATAAGTTGTCAATATCGAATTAACGTAATATATCCGCATTCATGGAGAGAACAAACACGATCTATACATTTTATGATTAGATTGGAGGACTCATTATTGTCATATTCTTGGACAGCCTAAAGATACGACAATATAATGCATGCGAAACTAAATAACGCGCTCGAGTCCTCCAATTTAATCATAAAATGCGGATCGTGATCGTTCTCTTCGTGGAAGTATTCATACATTTTATCAATGTTGTACGTAATATACTAATGGAAATATAAGTTGTTGATTTCTCAGGCCATCAGGTCATCAGGCATTACTTATGAGATAATTATACTATAGTCGCTATAATATAGTCGCGATAAATCAAGTTGTGGTTTTGATGATACCACAGGCATCACTTGCATAAAGAGATAAACATAAAAGAAGCAACTTGTTTGCAGATGATAAGTCGAAAGTGGCGCAAGGGGTGCTGTTCCGCAAGGGTAAAAGACGTTTCATAGTTGGAGCGAAACGCGAAGTGATTCTCTCTGCAGGGGCGATACAATCGCCGCAATTATTGATGTTGTCGGGAATTGGACCGAGGCATCATCTCGAGAAAATGAACATATCTGTGGTGCATCATGCACCCGGTGTAGGACAAAATCTTCAAGATCATGTGGGAATGGGTGGGATAATCTATATCATCGATCCTCCGCACAGCATGCCAGAACGAAATAAATTCAGTATGAAACTATCTGACATTACAAAGTTGAGAAACATTCGAGAAATGCTGTGGAACAGTTCTGGTCCTCTTTACACGACAGCATACAGTGCTGGAATGGCGTTTCTCAATACCAAGTAAGCGATATATATTATGCATGTGGAAGGATCCCGTTTTCCTACATCTCGTTTGCTTACAAATCGACACCATATATGTATTATTGCCTATAGCTCGATTGTCTGTATGCACTTTTTTGCGCACAAATAAAAATTTCAAAAACGAAATTACGTTTGCCTATGGCTGCGTTCAGCAGAAAAAATTAATGCTTAGTGATTCTTTAATAAGACCTTTAGTTCTTATTAATTTAGCCTTTAGTTCTTCGTTTCTAAGTGTAGGATTAAAGATCGTATTAAAGAATCGCTAAGTGCTAACTGATTAATTAATTTTCTCTGTTGAACGCAGCCTTTATGTATTGACATTCAATCTGTAGGCAAATGTGACTTCGTTTCTGAAATTTTTATTTGTGCGCAAAAGTCCAACAGCGTTCTGTTGTTTTGGAAAAAATATCCATAATTTTTTTTATACATATACGTTAATGTACTCATGACTGATTCAACTTCTTGCAATATATCATTTGATAAAATTGCTATTAACCCTAATGGAAAAATTTCGCTAAAATTAGTTCACGTTTTGGAACACTTTAGCGAAATTTCAGCATTTCAGAAAAATTCCAGCTTTTTAGCTGAATTCTAGATTTTTAGCTGAAAAATTCATTTTCAGCCAAATTTCACAGAAATTTCAATAAAAATTTCCGAGAAATTTCAATTCAATTTCAATGATTTTTCGGTATGTTAGGTAAAAAATTCATTTTCAGCGAAATTTCAGTAAATATTTAGCAATTTCGCTGAAATGTTTCAAAACGTGAAATAATTTCCACGAAATTTTTTCATCAAGGGAGTGATTGATATGATTTTGTACAAACTGTTTTGATATGGATTAACGATGTTATCTTTGTTGTCGAGATAAAAGTCACAATTGACATTGACCTTAAAATTATACAGAATGTATTAGTATATTAAATGAATTAAGAAAATGATATAAGTATAGAGTATCAACAAATTGTTTTTACTTAATTATCATTCGCATTTTTATTAGAAAGATATAATAGCATGCTATTATAAATATTAAAGGATTCGTTACGTATACGTGAGAATAATCTTAAAAATATCTGCGCATTCGCATATTTGTTCCTCCATGATAATTAATGGTGATGCTAAACAAATGATGTGTCCGTGCTTAGGTTTCCAAGAGCTTGTTTTCAACTTCACGCAAGATCGATATTCGAGGAAGTAGAGTTGTCGAAAATTATAAATTGCAAAAAAAAATTTAATAACAAATGAAAGAGAATTTAAAAAAAAAAATCACAAAAGATACTTTTATTTTAAAAAATTACTAATCATATTTAAAATAGGAATAAAAATAAAAGAATTAAAGAAATGAATAGTTGAATATGTACATTTCAATAAACAAATATGTCAATAGATTCTCGTATAAGTATATTTATCTCGACAAGTTCTGAATCTTAAATTGCGATTTTTTGCGAAAAAACGATCAATATTCTTTATGTAAAGTGATAACGTTAGATAGGAAAAAGGGTACGTTGAATACCAACTTTTTTCCCCTCCCATATCTAGTCACCGGTTTCTATAAATGCTATGCAATTTTCACACGTTGTAAATACATATCTTAATACAGTAAATAAGATAATATTTTTGGACAGTAATATTTTTGGACCGTGAACTAAGTAAGTCCATTTTAAATTAAATATGTACAATCTTCGCGACAGTTGCTGTTCTGCCAATTATAATGAAGTAAAAGTTTGTGCCAGTCTGTGACAGCTGTCTTATCTGAATTATTAATTTCATCATTAATTATTTGAAATTCGCGTACAAAATTGTATATTGTTATCAGTAATAATTTCTTTTTCTGTTGATTAATATTAAAAAACATCTCAGTACATGTATGGCAGCTATTTTAATATCCTTCCCTCCTGTCAGTCTGGTTTTCGTCGATCTCACAGCACAACGATGGAATTGCTTCACATCTCTGACGTCGTAATTTCGACAATAGTCGTCTTACGTTCATCATTGTGCTGGACTTCACAAAGGCTTTCGATACCGTCAGTCAGATGACCTACTTTTAGCCAAACTCAAGTTATGCGGTCTTTCTCGTCCTGCCCTCTTGATAATCTTCGTTCCTTACAAGCTGCATGCAGCAAGTCCTCATATATAGGGTGTCCCATTTTAATCGAGTACCTCAAATATCTCTTGAACAATGCATTTTAAGGACAAATGTTTCATACCAAAGTTTTGGAACTTTGAGGAATACCTAAGATGGGGTCATTGATTTGATCTTGAGTGGTGTTGTCAAGGTCAGAGCAAGGTCATTTTGAATTTTTTAAACGGAACCTCCCATTTTGTATTATGTATTCTTGTAGCTTACCTCGATAAATATCTTTTAAATTTTAATATATCAAATTATTTATTTATCTACTTTTTCATAAAAGACTTTAATTAAATCGATATTTTTTTAATCTTCGATTAATATTTGGATCGTTAAAATAATAATAGCAAAAGCTTAAAAAAATAAATTCTACTATATTCTTACAGAAATTGTTTCAGTCAATATATTCTCAGTAGTCACTGATCAAATCAATTACAAGCGAACTTATCTCGACAATTAGTCAGTAGTAGATAATGCATTTCGATATGAGAATCTCGGAATATCAGAACTTTTCATGTCATTAAAAGTAATATTTCCGAGATTATGTCATTTGTTTTTCTCGTCTCGTCTTGTTTCAAAAAAATTGAAGAAATATCAGAATAAGAAATAAACATTACTTATGAAAAAGTTAAAACCCAGATCAGTGGCATCTATCATGGAATAAAGTCGGAATGGATTCCAATCAGAAAATTATTATTATTTCGTTTTCGAAAACACAATAGAAATCTAGGGAATAATTGAATAACTCTGATCGGAATCCATTCCGATTTTGTTCCATAATAGGTGCCCAGGAACAGCCATTGATTCCGTCGCATCGGCTTAATAAAAAACATACATTTTTGCATCAGCAGTAATCAAAGTTAATTAAATTTAAACATTAAAAGATCAAGATCAAACCAAATAATTGATTAAAAAAAATTAATTGTATAATATTAGTTAAGAAAACTAATTAATATAGATTTACAGCTCTTAATGACAATTAAAACATTTTATTCATTTGAATAAAATAAAATAAAGCGTTATAACTGTTATTTATTGTCATTAATTATTTATTATAACTTTAGAAAATATTCTTACTAATATTTTATGGAGTTACACAAACATAAATAAAGATGCGTCAATCTCAAAATTTACGAAATTTTACAGCGCGAATTAAAAATTGCGCACAAATGCGGTTTACAGTTTTCGAAAGAATGAATCTTTATAAAAAATTTTGAGATCTGATGTAACTGATGTAACTTCATAAAATATCAGCAAGGCCGATTTTTGAAGTATCTATCTGAAAAACAGAAATTTCAAGCTGTAAAATGGTGATCCTTTAATTTTGTTGAGTAGTGCATTATAATTATCATTTTTTATTTATTATTTTATTATTATTTATTACTTATTGTTGTTACTTATTTTTTATTACTTATTGTTGTTATTTATTTTTTATTTATTTATTAATTATTATTATCATTTTTTATAATTTATTATTATTATTTTTTATAATTTATTATTTTTATTTATTTATTTGAGTGTCGCATCATAAATTTATTATTTAAGAATTATAATAATTAAATAAATAATTGGACAATTGTCATAAAAACAAGTAAAATATATTCATAATATTTTATTATAAATATATAATGAAGTTTTTAACGTTAAATGAGAAATACCGAAGAGCGATAATAAAAAAAAGATCTGTATTACTGTATAAATGATTTTTCAGAAAAATTGTAGCACTTAGTGTCGGTTGAGAGTCCAATAAACCAGTTTTTGAAAAAAAATACCCTTAAAACCAAATCACACTTCTAATACTATTATTAATCATGTTCTCCTTTTATCTGATATTTCATCAATTCATTACTTTTTGCATGGATTATCACACATTATTTTACTTTATATCTTTATGTCTTTATGACAGTTATAAATATGCTGCCTGAATAAATATTTCAAATAAATGAAAAGAAATAATCAATATTTATATGAGAAATAGTCTTGAGATAAAATTCGGAAATCTCAAGTAGCGAAAATATCGGTCTATCGAGACGAGAAAAGTGTATCAATCATTTGTTTTTGTCGAGATTAATATTATTTATAATCCTTCCTTGAGGAATGAGGATTCCTTGTTTCTCATTTCACACTTTATAAATCTTTTTTGACAAAACAAGGAGTCTTAGCTTTCTTTTCTTAAGGGAGGGAGTTACAAGTTTCCTTGAAAAGATGTAACTTTCATAAACAAATCTCCAAATTCAGTCACATGGGTCTTTTTATTTTGATAACTTTTAATTTAGATTCGTCGCATTTATCTTTTTATTTTCAATAGCTTTCTCTTCGGAAATATATCGCCAAAAGCATTTTCTCCTTCTCCATGAGCATTATGGCGAATTCAATTGGAAGCACTAGTGCGCACTGATGTATATTAAAGCCGTTGTACATCGATTTGAGTATAAAATTTGAGTATAAAATCAAATGCAAATATTTCGAATTATGAAATACACACTTTACCTAATAGTACTATAAAATGTATTAAGTATTACACGATTTAATCGATTTCTATGTTTATTTATAAACATATCTTTACGTTATTTTGTGTACGACGACTTTAATGTGCACCAATGTATATATCATTATATATTGATATATAAATCCGTGGATATATATAATATATACTATATGTGTATATAATATATATACATATATATACTTGTCATGTATTATATTAAAAAATTGTTTTCTTATTTTATCTAATTTGATCTCTCTGAAAAATTAATGTATTATTAAAAAAAAATTTTAAGTGCGTCCAATCGAATCCGCTATTAGTTTTATCTTTTTTCATTATTTTTTGTAAAATGCTTGATCACGACTTTATTTAATCAACAATGCCTTTACAGCCTTTATTCGTAATTCACGATATTAGAAAGTTTGCATTATATATTATGACATGCTACCTTCAGTTTTATGTTACTAAAATCTCTAAAATATTCCTTCCTTCGGGAAGGAAGACTTGAGATTCATTTATGAAACAAAGAGATCTTGGAGATCCTTCATGAAGGCTTCCTCCACCTTTGAAATGAAGACGGATTATGAATACAGATGTAAATCTTAATATCGGTATTTTCTCGACTCATCTCGCTCGAATGCATCACTAATTAGCAATCAATCTGTTGACAAATGTGACTTCATTTCTCAAATTTTTATTTGTGCGCAAAAGTGCTTGTAGACAATCGATCTTTAGGCAAATGAGATGTAAGCAAACAATGCTGTAGCCAATTGATTTGCATAGACAATTTCTCTTCATACATGTACATACATTATATGCTTTCTTTTCCCTCCTCCCCCAAAATTTATTTAACTCATCAATCCTTAATTAGAGATTAAGAGCGGAATAAGGTTTAAATTGAATTATAAACTATATTTTAAAAAATAAAATTTCTTTAATGACAATAATTTGTTCAAAACAATCTTTATATGCTGCAGATATGCAGACGGATTCGATTATCCGGATATACAGCTGATATTCTCGGCTTTCTCAGATTATGGAATTCTCGCAGCAAATTTATATGGGATTAAGTCGAGTACCGCCACTAGATTGTATGAAAATATCACAGAAGATACTCAAGCTTTCGGAATTTTTCCGCTTCTTTTAAGACCACGCAGCAGAGGCTTCATCGAGCTAAAATCGACTGATCCGAATGAGGCTCCCGCTATTGTTCCAAATTATTTTGAGGACTCGCGTGATCTCCAAGTTTTAGTACGTTATTTTTTTTTTTGGTTGCATAAAGGCACTGCTGCTTAATTGATGGTTAATTAGTTGCTGGCAATAATGACAAAGCCAATTACGAGTAAGAAATTTGTAATTTGTAACATATGCTTCAATTTATTCACGATAAACACGACACATCGATAAGACAGAGTTTCGTGCAAATTATAAATTAAAAACAAGATAATAAATTGTTAAAAATAATTCAATCATAAACAGATCTTCTAAAAATAAATCTCCTCATTAAGTCAGTATTGAGCCGTGTAGTATCGACTTTTTCGAGAATTAAAATAATTACCAATATTGAAAAGAGATAGTTAAGAAAGCTCGGGTAAAAATATGTTATAGGAACTTAAAAGAGATGATTATGTTAATTTCATAGGTAGAGAGCGTGAGATTTATGGAAGGGATGAAACGTACTCGTCTTATGCGGAAGTTAAATGCACGATTAAATCCAAATCCGATACCGGGATGTTCGCAATTTGATAGCTCGTCGGACAAGTATTGGGCTTGCTACGCACGTCATTTCACATCGACAATATACCATCCGGTTGGCACTTGCAAGATGGGCCTTGCCAGCGATTGTTACGCCGTCGTTGATACTAGATTAAGAGTTCACGGAATCGCAAGACTACGAGTGATCGACGCTTCGATCATGCCGTATCTAGTTTCAGGGAATATTAACGCACCAACGATTATGATTGCAGAGAAAGGTGCCGATATGATAAAGGAGGATTGGCAATCCTAATTCGCCACGAATGCCACATGCTAAAGATTGCGTTTCGTAAACGGTCGATCCAGGCTATCGCCATCTTTTATATTATTGTATGCATAATATAATATAATTGGTACATTTGTGATGATCGACCATAAAAAAATTATTTGAACTTTAATTGTGCTTCTCCATTTTGATAACAACACTAATAGAATTATACAATCATCATGATTGGCATTGGTTTAGAAACATAATAAAACGTTTGAGCCTGTTCTACTATGTGCTTTTTATTTCCAGTTTCTTGCTTTTTGCTATTTTTTTACATCTTATCTTTTTGCATCTTATTCGGTTTTTTTTTTGTTTTATATCGCCTGAGATAAGAGTTAATGAATTTCGAAAGAAACAAGAAATACAATTGTCGATAAAACGGTTGCAAAGGAGTTAAAAGCAAAAGGTACAAAACAAGAAACAGGAAACAAAGAGCACATTGTAGAATAGGCTTTATAAATATAGAAATTGTTTGTAGAGTGCTTACTTTTGTTACAGAACACTAATTAATTCAATAAAATAATTCAAAGTTATCTTAAATTCGTCCTGTTCCATTATCCAATTATATTTTTCAAGAATACAAAGAATATATCACGTTGTTATCATAAATGATAAATGCAAAAAGCTTTAAGAATGTTTCGTTATGGTGTGTGATATTTAAATTTCTCAAATATATTCCAATATTTAAATATCTCCTGTTCTTTTACATTTGAATACGATAATAATTTTATATTGAATTGAGATAAAAATTATTTTCCCTTTATGTTATTGATTGATACGGTATATCTTTTATTATTTTTCAAATTGCGTAATTACATCAATATACATTATAGATCATATTATTTATCATTATCAATTTAATTATCAAAAATTGAATATTTGCTGTGCATGTTTTAACACGATATACATTTATCATGCTCGCATGAGCAAACCTCTATGTATTGCATATATAATATTATTTTGTATGTTTTATATACTAAATATACAAAAAATATATTCAGGACCTCTTAAATATCTTGATAAGTAAAAATGTCTGAGAAAAGTGCCGTTCAATAACATTGTTTATCACTTAAATTTAAATAGAAACGTTGAGAGTACGCGCGCGTACGTACGAGTAGCGTGATATGTGTGTCAGTTAAAGACTTTGTACAGTAGATACAAGGAAACTTATTTATAATTTATACTTCTTATTCTATATATTAACAATGGTCCTTAACAATGATATATCGTTGCACATTATAATTAAAATGTGAATACGTATTATTTTAAATTATTCACATGTGCGTATATGTATTTACTTTCCAATTATAATATGTAATGACGCATTATTCACAAGTGTACAAGTGCATGATACGTATTAAATTAAGGCCTTTTCTTCCCCTGCAAAAATATATATGGTCTTTTTGTGCTTCTTCATATGTCCGAAATATAAATAGCGACAGAGGATTCACTTTCTTCCTATAAATTAGTCGCCTATGGTATCTGCATAGGATGATAATAAGAAATTAATGGAACCTCGTAATATCAGCTAGAAGTAACTTCACATTCAAGGTAAGATTTTTTTATTCTAATAAAAAAAACAAGACGCGAGATATAAAATACAGCACTGTTTACATTATCGTATATTACGAATTATTCGTAAACATGTTATTATATGTTCCATTAAATGAAAATATTGCATATTATATATAAGGTCAAGAATCAAAATACCACAGCAAAAAAGTTCGTAAAAATAAGTTATAAAGTATTTACCATTTATTTATTTTGAATAGTAATTTTTGTGATAAAAACGTTTAAAACTTTCCCATTATAAAAAATTATAGTTACACTGAGAAAAAAATGCTATTGATTCAATTAAAGTCTATATTACGAGCTATCACTAATATAAGTAATTAATTTATGTATATTTTTATTGACATAAAGGCATAAATTATTATTTCAATAACCAAGGCCTTACGACAATAAAAGTATACATAAATTAATTACTTATGTAACAGCTCATAATATAGACTTTAATTGAATCAACAGCATTTTTTTCTTAGTGTATCTATCTAAGTCATGTGTCGATCGTAATCATATTCTATATAACTGGCTAATTTTTTATCTTCAGGTCTCAAAAACTACTGTTCGAAAGTTCAAGTTAAAAGTGACAAATATTCTCATAATTTATTTTTTTTTAATTTTCTTGCATTTTGATTCGTAATATTTTGATTGGTAAATTATGAGACCTTATGTAACACTAAAACACAGAAGTTGATATAATTTTTGAAATGAAAACAATTTCAGTGTCCGTTTAACAAACTACATCATGATTGCAGTAAATCTTCAATGAATAATCGATTAATTTTTTATATTCAATGAAATTTCACTTTTCTGAATTTAGCATAAATTTGATCGAGTTATATAAATACAATGATTGTGATTTCGAAATCCAGACTCTTTTTCTAGTAACTTTTAACTAATATACCACATAACACGCGCGAACACAATGCAATTTACAATTTCTCTCTCTCTCTCTCTCTCTCGATAAAAGAAATTCTTTAATGATTCGCCGGATGAACAAGTTGCATGTTTAATTCGTTTCTAGCTTCCTCAAAGCTTGATCACTCGATCGTAAATCCTCAAAGAGTAAGTCCTAAATGCATTAATCCACGCGGTGTGAATCCTGCTTGAAGCCGAGACGAAGACTTTATTGACGATGACGTCACACCACGTGTGTTTTCTTCAACGAATGTCAGACCCCACGCAATGTGTTTCTCGATTAGTGTATATAGTGTGGTCGTGGTTATGCTGTCTTTTTTGACTGTGCCAAACGGTAGGTGTTGAGAACATGATCCTATTGCGAATTCGAGTCGCTCCGAATCAATCATTTAAAATTATTTGCAGTCCTAGTGATAAGATAAATCGATTAGTGCCTACATATTCTGTATCGTTGTACAAACGTCGTCGAAATGCTGATCACAATGAAATGTTAAGCCTTCACATTTTTATTCAAATCTCAGATAATATTTGTAAAAAGGTCAAGGTCAATTTAGAAATTAAAGATAATGTTTCAAATCACCTCTTAGGGTAAATCACCTTAAGATATATCTTTTAGAGATATATATAATGTAGAGAGACTTGTGAAAGTTTTGAAACTTTTTTAAAAGAACCTGCTTCGCAGCTCTTTATGCAACGATTTGTTGAAATAAATATCTTTGACCTAAATATAATAAATACTATGCGATCTAACAATATTCGTTTCTAGTAATGAAAAAAACTTGAATAAAAGAAAATTTTTTAATAAAAATTTCAAGGAACTTTCTCGAGTTCCTCCACGTCTAGTAAAATTAAAATTGTAATCTAGAATGGACAGTTGTTTTTTTTCTTATCTCTGTCATATCTATAATGTCTACACCTGATGTTAATGTATAATAGTTCAACGAAATTTCACTTTGCTCCGCGTTTGCAGATGGAGAAATTTCTGCCGGATATTTCACATATATATATGATGTACATATTTGCCATATCAGATGTATTGCGCGTACTCTTCGATGGTAAAAATTATAGCAAAAATTTATCATAAACAAGCAATAACGCATGCACTTTCACATAACTGTAACTAATACCGGAAAAATAGATTCACTGATTTAGCAAAGATACAGCTTGCTGCGCGAGTTCAACGTCTGTTTTTAATTGTAAAAAATTAATTGTAAAAAATTTTTACTAAAAAATTATATCTGTAAGCATGTAATTATCAGTATGCTCGTAGAATAAACTCATCTTTATTAACATTGCAATAAATTATTTTAATTGAAATAACTAATTTAGTGTGCCTACGCAACTCGTGATGTTTTCTTCTATTGTTGAAAAATAGCCGGAAGCACATGATTCTTGATCGAATTTGTCCGTGCATTTATTCATTTACCATTATCACTTATTTATAATTATGTGATAATCTACCATTATCTAACTGGGGATTCTTGAAGAGAAGAAGAAGAAATATGTGACTTCTATTGTATAATATATGTAGTGCAATCGTCTATTTCGGTATCACTCTCTTTCATTATAATAGGATATCTTGGATCGGTGTACGCATTCGCATTTGCATCAACAAAGCTTCTTCGCGAAAATTAAAGTTTACCCAACTTCAATGTGCTCTGTGTTTTATGTGTCATTAAATTAGGTTAGGTTTTCTTGCGACTCGCATTCTACGATCCGCGTGTTATGAAGCTACGTTTGAAATAATATAATAATACGTTTGTAATAATAATTTAAAAATTACATCCTTCTTAATTTTAATAAAAATGAAAACATGTATTTATTAGAATTTGTTGTCTTAATTTACTTGAATTGATAGAGCAACTAATTCTTTGCTACAATGAAGATTGTTAATGTAACAAGTTTCTTCATTACAGTAGCAAAAATATGCGCTATCTTAGCTAGCATATTTTATTACCAATTTCGATCTTTATAATAAATTCATTTTTGTAGAATTTGTGTTATCTTCGCCGTATTAATAAATTTGCTATGATATTACATAACTACAAATATGGTTAGTTTACTAAAACAACATTAAAATCGCTCACTATAGCGAATAGTACGCATCACTGATAATAAATGAATGTAACTTTCTTACATTTAAAAAGAAAGAATTTACTTTCTTATATTTAAAAAACAACAGCATGGAATAAAAGGCGCATCATTAGAGATCGTTCATCGAATTTAAACTTAGGTTCAAAGACAAAAGTAATTGGAAAATGTACTTTAACAGTACAATTTTTTTAATTGAACGTAAAAATTAATTAAGGAATTCTGATAATTCCTGAAAGTTAAAATGTAACAACATAATGACAATTTATCTGCATTAAAATTTAATGTATACCTAAATTTCACAAAGCACTTTATAAATATTATGCATTAAAATAATTTACAATGTGCATGTTAATTTTTATTATGTAGTTTATAATGTAGTTTTATTATGTAGTTTAGTAAAATATATTTTGTGTATTTCAAAAATTCCTATCTTTACGATAATATTTAATAGGTTACCTAATTATCCCACGCTAAATAATGATAAAATTTGTAGCGAATCTTGCGATAAACTATAATGAAAAATTCTCTCCGTGTAGGCTAACAGGAGATGGTAAATAATGCGCGATTTATTGGAAATTATGTAGAGTAATAGAATTATATAACCATAAAACATTTTAGCTCATATATTTGAACCTATTTAAAAGACATTTTAATGTCTTAAATTTGATCTCTTTGGAATTTTCCTTAATTTATTAGGTTCTACATTTGATTTTATATTTATAATTTTTTAACTTTATATTCATTAAATAATTTGTTGCATTTTTTTATCTATTGACTGTTATTTTGATTGCAACACAATTTTATTTGTAAATATTATCTTCAGCAAAATCGTAAATAATCGTAAAATTAAGATCTCGCCAAGTTTTTATGTTTCTCAGGTTGATATATGACACGAGTAAATATAATTTAAAAGATAAATGATGTCTGGAGTGCATTGATCATGATGGTTTCAAGGAACACAGGTGTTTTATTGTTAGAATCTCGACACAGAATAATTTCAGAGATCACATAAATAATATTTATAAATAAAATTGTATTGCAATCAAAATAACAGTCAATAGATAAAAAAATGCAACAAATTATTTAATGAATATAAAGTTAAAAAATTATAAATATAAAATCAAATGTAGAACCTAATAAATTAAGGAAAATTCCAAAGAGATCAAATTTAAGACATTAAAATGTCTTTTAAATAGGTTCTATTAGTTGTCATATCATATTTGTTCGTTTCGGAAGACATTATCTATTTGTCATATTTAATGATCATAAAAATTTTCTTTTTACAATAATAAAAATGACATTTTAGAACGGTCGATGAACAATGTAAAGACAACGACTAATTATATCAAATATTATAAATCTAAATCTTAATTATTATCAAATATTATAAAGTCAATACTTTGTATTATATGAGAACAAAATTGAAAACAATGCTAAGGTTACCGAAATGCGGGACAATTAAGTTTATTGCAAAGTACGCGCTTATTATATTGTCGACGTATGTCATTGCTTTCAATGGTATTCTCATAAATCTTATAATCGACGTTTCGTTCCTCTCGTCCAAGTGTTTAATTAACATGTGTCGAAACTCTGTTGCAATCATTTTCAAATGATATATCCTTCCATTAATGAACACGATATAAAATCTGTATTTTAGTAACGTGATACACGATAATAATCGAACTAATGATTGACTCATGTTCGACTTATCTTCTAAAGAATAATACAGTAGTATAAAATGCATTAACGTAAATTATAACGAAATGTACACGCGAGACGTAAGTAATCACATACGCATCAATATAATAATTACTTAACAGTAAAATTTAGATATAAATTCAGATACACACACACACACACACACACACACACACATATATATATATATATATATATATATATATATATATCTTAATTTTTTCTGTTGTTTGAATAATCATTTCCGATATCATTTCTGATTTTTGCGCGTTAAATACGAATCCAGCAATGAAATTACTCTATTACATCAGCTTTTTAAGAAAAGTTAAAGATGTTAAAATTAACATTTTTTGATATATGTGATTTTTTGTTAGCGAAGTAAATTTTTCTCTTTACTTTCGTTTATGGTGTGACTACGTAGAGATAAATTCGGTGGACAAAAACGTGCGGCATTAAAAAGAAATATATTTCAAAGATAAAAGTTGGCACTTTAAGACGAAAATAAAGAAAAATATTTATTTTGCTAACAAAATCACAGTTAAAAAACGTTAATTTTGACTTTAATTTCATTTTTCAAAAATCTGACACGATAGAAACGTGAATTTCATTGCCAGATTCGTGTTTAGCGAGCAAAAATGCATCAGAAATGATATCTTTGATTTAGATAATAACAGAAACTACGTTGGCCAGTGTTACTACTTATTTCCTTGTAATTTATTCAATTCGCAGATAATATTAGTCTTTAAATTGTAGACATGCGGTGGTACTTCCTCTGCTTAATCTTGGCGCATTATGTTATCGCTACTCCAGTCAAAGAACATCAGGTGAGTAAAAAATAGTTATTTTTTTACAATGCCGAAAATTTTTTAACTTATCGTAATGATATATTAACTTGAGTAACAAAAACCTTCTTCTTTTGTAATAAGGTATAATTCATTAAACTAGTACAATCGTATAAATAGAGGAGACTGGGCTAAGTGAGTACCGAGGCTAAGCTGGCATTGAATTTTGAATGATAAAAATATATCTTATGAGATTTCAATTTATATTGTAGAAAGCATCTCGTGTGTCTTCTTCACCAACGAAATTGGTTAGTTTAAGTGCCGCGTTATTATGTTTAAATAGTCAAACATGTTTTTGATAGTCAAAAATAATTTTGGAGATTTCATTTTTCGAACTCTACCGTTTTAAACAATCAGAAAATCTGATTAAATCTACTGATATATTTTAGCGCTTTTAATTTTGTTGCATCATATTCCATATAACTACCAAAAACAATTGTAAACTACAGACTGCAGCGCAAAAGAGAAAAATAGACGTAAAATAGAAATAATAGAATTGTTAAATTTTCATACAGATTTGAAATGCTCATATTATTATATAATACAAATAATATTTAAATAGAATGTTTGGAATAAGAAACATGATAATTATTAAGAGTGACGTATCACTCGAATATTTTCATCGTATATACGCGTCAAGCGTATCTTTTTCCGTAATTCGAGAAAATCCTGACTATCGAAAAACACTATCATAAATCTTAACAGCTACGAGAAGAAATCTTATAATAAAATTTGCAATAATTAGAACGACGCAATTACCTACAGAAATGCGAACAGTAACATTTTGATTAAGATTAATATAAAAATGTATAAATTTGTAGTACAAATATATTACAAATCTGCATGAAAATATATCTTCCTCATATATTTGAGAGTGGACATTAACGGTTAAATAACTGTGATTACTTTAATTCCTCAAAGAAATTCTCTTCGTCACGAGTTTTACATTAATGTACATAGCCTTTTTATACACATGTACTTTGTATTAGAAGAAAGCGCACACAGTATTCAAAATTTATAAATATTGAGATTTAATATGATTAGAAATTATTGTAAATCTTTATTTCGTAATAACGAAACTCATTATTTGTACTTATTTAAAGCGAATATTATTATCTTTAGCCGATTCAAGCAAGCAACGACTATGGGACCAATGGATGTTGCTTGTGCCAGTTCGAGGATACGCAATACATGAGCAATGTCTGTGGTGATGGTAGCTCTTTTATGACTTTAATCCAACATATACTGTCCTCTAAATGCGACATTGCTGACCCTTGTCGACGATTGGGCAGAGACGAAGCACCGATCGAATACGAATGGTAAGAGATTCATATTTATGCATATAGCGCTGGAGCATTTCTTCTATTTTCGTGTGTATTTTATTTTGTTCTATATTATGGAAGATCAACTATGTCTTCAGGTTCGACTATATAATTGTCGGCGCAGGTGTAGCCGGACCAATAATCGCGAGAAGATTGAGCGAAACTTCATGGCAAAGAGTTTTGCTCATCGAAGCTGGCCCTGAAGAACCTTCTATGACAGCTATACCAGCTTTTATGTTGAATACCATAAATACGTCCCTCGATTGGAACTTTAAAACGGAATCAACGGAATCGCATCCTACTGCCTGTTTGGGTATTAAATACATTGTATAACAACTGTTCCAACATTTACTCACAGAAATGTATCTATCTAAATTTTTAGATACTTTAGCCAAATTGTTTTTCCATTAAATTGTCTAAATAAAACAAACAATTGAAAGAAAAGAAACAAGCAATTCAATGTAGCAATTTTTCCAATTTTTCCAAAGTCTCAAATCAAAATCGGAATTATTAAATAAATAATTTAAATCTTAATATACAATCTTAGATAAAAATTTATGTTACAAAAACAAAATTTTAATGTCATATGATTATGCTTTTTAGAAACGGGTGGCGTCTGCACTTGGCCGAGAGGCAAAATGGTAGCTGGAACCGGCGCTATGCACGGTATGATGTACTATCGAGGACATCCTGAAATCTACAATCACTGGGCACGAGAGGGTAACTTGGATTGGTCCTACGACGAGATCAGTCATTATTTTGAACGGGTGGAGAATCCAGTCCATCCAACAATCTTGTCAGACAAACCTAGAAGTTTAAAGGAAGGCGGCCCGATGAATATTCAGTACTATCCACACAAGCCGGACTTCGCAAACGTACTGTTGACAGCCGCCAGCGAACTGGGTTACAGAACCTCCCTATTGAAAGAATACAATCAAACTGGCTTCATGATCGCGCCGATGACAATTGAGAACGGTATGCGTCTTACAACTTCGAAAGCATATTTAAGACCAGTTCACGATCGCAAGAATCTGCGAGTGCTAACAAACGCGCAAGTCACCAAGATCTTGATTCGTCCGTGGGAACAGAAGGCTTACGGCGTGGAACTGGTGGATAAGAATGGCTATAAAAGAGTGGTGAAATGCGATAAGGAAGTAATTTTAACAGCTGGTGCTATTGGCTCACCGCACATCCTTCTGAATTCTGGCATAGGACCCGAAAAAGATCTCGCCAAATTCGGTATTAAAGTATTCAAAGATCTGCCGGTTGGTAAGAATTTGCATAACCACGTGTCCGTGGGAGTGCCGATGAGCATCAAGGATATTCCATACGAGATAATGACTATGGACGCCGTAAATAAATTTTTGGAGAATAAGACAGGACCATTGACCAGCACTGGTCTCACTCAAATTACCGGTTTCCTCGAAAGCAGTTATGCGATCAACGGCGTGCCGGATATCCAAGTCTTCTTTGATGGTTTCATTCCCATTTGTTCAAAGACTGGTTTAGTCAATGAGTGCATCAATGATAAGTTCCAATCTGATTGCCCGGACAGAAGAAAGATCGTAGTGAGACCTACGGTGATTTTTGCAGAGAGTCGAGGCGACTTAAAACTCCGCTCAAATAATCCTTTGGATCCGCCATTGATATATCCAAATTACTTCACAAAAGAGAAGGATTTGATGATTCTACTCGAAGGTATCAAAAAGGTCAGCAAATTTGTTGATACGCCCACTATGAAGAAATGGGATCTTCGTTTGGAACAAGTGAGAAGTCCATTGTGTAGCGAGTAAGTAATAATTCGTATATGACAAGTTTTCATACTAGTTTTAATCCTGATTCTGATAATTAGTTTACAGTGGACTTTTTTTTAAGCAAAAATATAGAAATATTAATAAATTTTGAGGTGCCAACAATTAAAAACAAATTATAATTTTTTCGTGTAATATTTCAAAAGTTTTGAAAAGAACCATTTTTTGTGAATTTCCATTAGTTTTCTTTAATAATTTTTTCTTTATTAGCTACCATTTCGGCACGGACGCTTTCTGGCTGTGTCAAATAAGAGCGAAAACTGGACCGGAAAATCATCAATCTGGAACATGCAAGTTGGGACCAAGTACTGATCCAAGTGCAGTAGTAGATTCGCAACTTCGAGTACATGGTATATCGAATATCCGCGTCGCCGATGCTTCCATTTTTCCAATTGTACCAAACTCAAATCCTATCGCCGGAATCATGATGGTGGCTGAAAAGGCAGCCGATATGATTAAAAATACTTGGTTATGAAAATTTTATTTTAAATGTATACATTTTGATATATCAGATAATAATAGTAATAATAATAAAAGTGGTATGTGTGTGTGTGTGTGTGTGTGTGTATATGTACATATATAAACACACATATACAATACTAGTATAGACAAAGAGAGAGAGGAGATAAGAATTTGCGCAGAGCAAATAATCATCACTTATCGCGCCAATTTTTCATTGCTATTTATATTTTAGTATCTCGTTCACATTAACAAGAGTTCAAAGACAATTATTTCTTTATTTAGACTATTGTATAAATATTATGAATAAAATATGATCACAAAGTAATTTATTACTTTTATAAACAATTATTTTAATAATTGTTTATAACCAATATTGTATCCAAACATAATTTATTAATATTAAACATAAGTAATTAACGTGTTTGTTTCATGAAAAAACTTGTATTTTTTTTTTTAGATAAAATGTTATTACACTATGTTGAAGCTAATCTGCAATATAAGTACAATGATAAGTTAAAAGAGAACTAATAACCTATCGATAACCACTGTGATTACGGTTTAATAGTTGGATAAACATCACAGATACAAAAATCCGATAGTATTAAAAGATTTATTCAAAGAATAATAATGATTATGAAAGTCGAACACGGGATGTACATTCGGCAACAGAAAGATTGCAATTTTTTTTTATGGATTTCAGATTGTGTCTTGTTAATCGCGCGATTGATTTTTACTTATCGGTCTATCCAATTACGTTTAATCGCTTTACAAGTAAGACTGAGTTCCAAAGTCCATCGAAAAAAGTGTTACAACTTTTCTGCTGGCGAGTGTACGCATATAATAAATTTAATAAATTATAAATTACATAATAATAACATAATAATAAATTTATTAAACAGAATATATTAATAAATATTATCAATGTCTGTGTTCGGTTTTCATAGGCAGTATCACTTTTTATTCTTTGGAGCCTATCAATTCTGTAAATTTATTGCATGTTGCATAAGATATGTTATAAAAAGTGAATATGTTATAAAAAGTAATTTAAGGTAGTTATATAATATAGTAAAGAGCGCCTAAGATCGGTCAAAGTTAGATGTTTCGAATATTTTTAATTATTATGAATTTAATTAGTATGAATTTAATTTTATCCTAAATGTGAGACTGTGCGCCAAGACATTTGAATATTTAAATATCCCAAATAATCAATCTGAGATGCTAATTTAAGGTAATGCTGGTGTGGCAGAATTGCCGAGAGAGAGAGAGAGAGATATTTATAATATATTTATAATGTATTTATAATATTTAGAGTAATTATAAGGTATATAATTTACGTGTGATATAAGTATTATCGAAAAAAGAAAAGAAAGAGAAAGGAAGAGAGAAAGGAAGGAGAGAGAGAGAGAGAGAGAGAGAGAGAGAGAGAGAGAGAGAGAGAGAGTGAGAGTGAAGGACGAAGGGAAGGGAAGAAAGGAAAAAGGGATAGAGAGAAGAGGCGAGAAGGGAAGGAAAGGAGGGAGAGAGAGGGGAAGGGGACGGAGGAGGGTAAGGGAAGGAAAGAAAGGGAAGGAGAGAAAGGGGAGGAGAGAAAGGGAAGGGGAGAAATTGGGTAAGAAGAATGGGGAAAGAAGAATTGGGGAAAGAAGAATTGGGGAAAGAAGAATGGAGAAGGTAGGAGTGGGAGGGAAGAGAGAGAGAGAGAGAGAGAGAGAGAGAGAATTACTCTTTCTTTCTCTTAAGATATAATTTTTAATTGTAATTATGTTATAGGGATGCACCAGATATCCGGAAAGTACCCGGTATTATCCGGCATTTTTTTATAATCCGGAAGACCGGATAACCGAATATTATTAGTATCCGAGAATATATTCCGTTGAAATTTGATATCATTAAATTGTTAATTTTTTATGATGTAAATGTTCTAGAAATAAGTATGCATATTTATGATGCTGTAATATGTATACATTGTTACAAAATTATAATCTTTTTCTCTATAGGTTTTTTTTTAGAAGACACTTTCCGAGTTGGAATCCGATTGTTCCGGATATCCGACTCGAAGAAATCGCTCGGATATTCGAGCGGATGCCGGATATTTGACCGCATTTGGAGAAAGTGTTTTCTGTTACATTCTGTAATTTTTCGATCCGGTGCATCCCCGTAATAATTTAAATTCGACTTTATGCATTCGTCACATTATAACTTCACATTACTCTGTTATACTTCAATATACACGTCTGTAATGCAAGATTAATCATTACACTAAGTAAATATGCGTGACAGAATTGCAGCGTATGCTGCAATAAGATTAATAATACATTAATGCACACGTGCAATAATGCCAAGTCATATTTGTATCATACAGGGTGGGCCATCTATTGGTACGTTTTTGAATTTCGTCGTATGGCAACACCGAACGAGCTACAGACCCGAAATTTTGACAGTTTATTAGTCATACCGTCCGCGGCACGAAACAACATGTTTTCTCTTGAAGAGCGTTTTGAAATTTTAAAAACTTATTTTCAAAGTCAGTGCTGTGTCGCCGAAACTGTACGAATTTTGAAAAGAAATATGGGTCGTGATAGAGCACCCACCGAAGGAGCTATACGCAAATTGGTGAGGAAAGTTCGTGAGAAAGGGATGTTAGTGGATGACATTATATTACGACTGTTTTGAGTGAAATTGGCGCCGAGGTAGTCCAAAATGTCATTAATAATTGGGGTGACCGAATGGCATACTGTAAGGCCAGTAGAGGGAGCCACATGAACGAAATCGTTTTTCATTCTTGACGCGGATACTTTTAGCTTCACAACAAAAAAAAATTAATAAAAAATATCAATGTATGCTCATTTGATCGCATTTTTAAAAACGTACCAATAGATGGCCCACCCTGTAGATAAACATCGTTCTCTTTCTCTCTCTCTCTCTCTCTCTCTCTCTCTCTCTCTCTCTCTCTCTCTCTCTCTCTCTCCTTCAGCGTTAAAAGTTAAAGAATTAAAAAAAGAAATATTACTAAATAAGTTAAGTTATAAAATTTTAATTAATCATGAGCATGATAAAAGATAGACATTTTTTAAATATTAAAATTTAATACTAAAATTGTTTAAAAATTAAATTTAAGACAAACTATTAAGTGACAAACTTTTTAATTTTTAAAAATAGAATGTAGAAAGTTTTTTTTACATGTATATAGTCTGATTATACTTGTAAAATATGTTTTTATCATAATATTATTGAAATATGTAGATAACAAACAAGAAAGAACAAGAGACATTGTAGCTATGGTTGCCACTTTTCGATTATATTAGCATTCCATTAGAGATTGCTGAAAATATCACTATTCTTCTAAAGATTAATAATAAGTACAAAAAATTGTCGAAATTAAAACTTCCTTGTAGTGTATCCTCTAAAACGAAAGTCAAATTTGACTTTTCCTATGAAGATTTTTTTCAAAGACTAGAAAAAAATTTTAAGTGTGACCCGCACACCCTCAAAAAAACACGTCATCAAAGTTTTGAGCAGATAGCTGAAAATTTCTTTTATTAAAAAATTTTAAGTTCGCCAGTCGGAAAGCCGGAATCTTTGTTTCTTCTATCGAAAACCGGAAAGGTGGCAACCATGCTTGTGACCTTCGTCTTATGATGATAGGAGGAGACGGACTGCTGACGAATAATTCAGTTTGAATCGGATCGTTGCTGAAACATTTTATCTCGGTAAGCTGCAACATTTCATGTTTCTTCTATTTAATATGTAATATCTTAAATGTTTATTTATAATACTTGAGTCGTTTATATCATATCCAATTAAAAACACTAAAATTAAATAATAAAATTGTTACTATTTTTTATGATCTTTATAGTGACATTCAAGAAATGATACGACTTACATAACTAAAATCAATAAATATTTTTGGAATATAACGATCATTTATTAATTATTATTTTAATTTCTATAATCTATGGTATTGATTCGATAACAGAATGTGATACATTTTTATTGAATAACTTAACATGTTTATTTTATCATCATTATGGACTAATTGCGACCATATAATGGAAGAATGTAACTGAGAATATTACAAGACTGAAAGCATTACATTATTGCGATAGAAGATAGATATGAAGGAATACTGTTGAATATTTTGCGTAACTATAATCTGTAGAAATTGTATTTAACCGTTTTATTTTAATTTTGTTAAATTTGCATTCTCTATATATGTATATACTGAGGATGATCTAATAATAAGGTCGAAACGTATGTTCTAAGAATTTGAAATACATAAAAATCTGGCTTATAGCTCCTTCTTGTTATTTATTGTTGAGCCATTATAAGATTATTTTTATTTAAAATCATTTTATTTAATTTACTTGAATTACTATCTATCAAAATAAAGCACAAATAATAGGATTATCAAGAGACACTGATAATGTCTCGGTGTTAAGGCACACGCGCAGCGATACTACCGATGACTTACGCTAAATCTCAGCTCTTTTAGATATTACAGGCCAGTTGCCAGAGCAAAAAAAATCGGAACTAAAAAGGAAATAATTACCAAAAGGCTGTTTATTATTTTAAATGTTTTATTTAGGCGTAAATATTATAGGTTTCATTTTGCGTTCACAATTTCAGAACGGAAGATAGTAATACCATATAAGCTGAAAATGGTACGATTTTTCACTTTTTGTTATATTTATGAAACTATGGAGAAATGTAGTAAGTCGTATAATACTTTTTTTTCCTCTTTCTTTTTTCTATTTTCGTACGAATAATTTGAGATCAAGCGAAGCTCTGTGCGATAATAGTTTCGGAAATACAGCGATTCAAAGTTTCAGTAAAAAAGGTGAAAAATTGCTTGTAAATGTTTTATATTTTTTATATTTTGTCTCCACAAACGTTTCCAATGTTTCGGATGAAGAAAGTGCATAGAATATTATTTGAAGTAGACTTTATGAAAGAAAATGCAACTATGAAGAGCTCTCTGCGATTAACAAAGTCAGAGATACGAAGTAGTGAAATTAGGTCTTAAATAATTTTTTTCTTGGATATTTTT